CCTAAGATCCGTTCGCGAGACAGAGAAGACAGCGATTAAAGGGATTAATTACATTTGTGTATAATAAGCCCACGAAATAAAAGTAATGGGCCTTTTACGGGCTCAATTGTCGTTTATCTCTTTATATTCAAATCTACAAAAACTATAAAACAATCTATGAACTAAACATTTTTTTTTTTTGGACAACGTAATCTATGAACTAAACAAAAATTTGCTATTTAATTAACAAAATAGTTCCACAGAAAAAAAAATTAACAAGAAATTTCCATACATTAGATCTATAATCTCTTTCAATTTGTGATTAGCCTTAAATCATTGTTTTTCAATAGATACTCGAATTAAAACTTCTACTTAACTCATAAAAATAATTTGTAATAAACAGATGAGTTATCGGCGTTATAATACTTGTATTTTCATATAGTAAAAAATTATAAACCTCAAAAACGATTTTATTAAAGCTATTTAATTTTTAAATGTATAAAATACATGATTTATCGTGATATAACGACATATCTAAAATTGATTTAGACTAGTTTTTAGATGTTTCATATATTTCATAACAGAAGTTTAGAAATTCCAACAATAATATTGAATTGAACTCCTATTTAAAACATTTGCCTAATACTAAAAACAAAACAAAATCATGTCAACTTACGTGAAAATGCATGATCAATATTCAGCCAATCAAATAATTTGTTTTTTGGTCAAAATCAAATAATTTGTTAATAAAAATTAAAAAAAAAACTTGATGTGATCGTGATGATTTTTTTTATAAGACAAGTAGAATTAAAACTAAATTACAATATTATATTAGTCAACCCAATAATAATTGTTTTCAAAGATAAGAAGAAATGTCTAAGTAGTTGCTTCCAAGAAATGAAATAAACAGCTCAATTTTGTTCCTTTTTTTTCTTCTTGTTTCCGTTAATGCTTTATCGTGTGAATAATTAAAAACACAAGACAAGACGCTCCCGAAGCATGCTCCGTACGGCTTTCGCAAATCTCATGCAATAATTGATTAATCTCTAACTAAATTTTCTATAAATTTCATTTTAATATAATCAAACATACTACTAGATCATAAAAATCATTGAAAAATCCCAAGTTGGCAAATTGAATAACATGCAATCAAAGAATTTTGCTTTCAATCACATCTAAAAGTCAACTGTTCAGGCAAAACTCCTCTCATCCTCTTGACTATTTGCTCCGCCTCGAAAGTCCGGTGATAAAGAGGCTGAGCCACCGAGTTCGTGTCGAGATAGTACAAACATACAACCATCAAAACCGAGTTTATAAACATCGGTATCGGTCCGAAAAGCCATAACAATAGATCAAGAGCCAAGTAAAGTGCCCTAAGACCCAACGACCAAAAGTTACCACCTCTCAAGACGGCTCTCTTCACCATTTCCGGCGGAATATCATCGCCGGGAGTAGTAATGAGATAGTTCGCGTGTAAGAGAGATCTCGTGGATTGAAGAAAACAACAGAATGCGACTAAGAAACATACGAGAAGAGAGGTGTATTTGATGACCATTGTGATTGAGCTTGTGTCTCCATAGATAAAATGTCCGGTAAAGACCGTCATATTGACCGGTGAGCTTCCGATCCACGCGCCAATAAGTGAACTCAATGTTAAAGCAATGGATGCCATGAATGTTGAAGCTGAAATGCTGCTTGAAATGACAGTTAAAGCACTACCCAATTCGTCTTTTCTTGCCT